TGGATTAATCGAGAAGATATAGTAAGTAATAACATACCTGTCTGTGGAGCTCTCGGATGACTGGCGCTTCCGTTTAGTCGAGGTCTTCTTCTTCTAAAAGAAAATCCGATATAGATCAATACTCCTTATTAACTCTTCTTAGCAAACATCAATCATGCATACGTTTTCGTCAAGAGTACGACAAAAAGAAAAACGAAAAAAAAAACAGAAAGAAATGATTTATTTATTTTACTTCGGAGTCTGTTCCTCCCAGGATTTCTAATCAGTAGAGTGAAATGGTAACAATTCAAAATGAAAAGCGCATTCATCGAAACGTATCTTTGCACGTCTGAAAAAAGACAGCCACAATTCGAAGAGAGAACTTCTCTGAGAGAGAGAAGATTTTTAACCATTTAAAATAATCAGAAAAGCAGTATTGTTAAAAGGAAAACTGATGTATCGCGATTTCCTAATTTGTATTCTGTTTTTAAGTGTGCGTGACGGTCTGCTTTCAAGACGATGACTGTGATTCCTCGTTTAAGAACAAGCAGCTTCCGAGACCCATTATCCGTAATTAGCATGTAATAGTGCTCGACATACAACGAGTGAGAATAAAAATAGAGACAGAGAGAAAAAGGCTCGTACACGACAGTAAATAAACTCGCAAATTCGAGAGTAGTATACACGACGAATTAGTTTTACGAATTCACAAAATGAGAAATTACATTGAGTAGCGGCATATCTGGTACTCACTCAGGGAATGTCTCCTGTCAAATGGCGCTGATAATTACAAACAATACTGAGATTTATACTTTGAAATAATGAACTGTCGAAAAAACTGGAAATCAGATGAAAAATCGTTTCGCGTAAAACACGACAAGCGAACCGGCGGGGAACAGGGGCAAGGGCCAAAGGGATAGTGGGTGGACTGATCGTGCTACTTTCTCGTGACAGCGAACTCAAGAGATCGGAACGATAACGATATTCAAACGTCAATCGGCGAACAAATTGAGGAGAAACAAACCTAAATATATAGACATAATGAGATGTCATGCTCCTGCTTTCCACGTGCCACGTAGTAATATGTATGTAGAAAAAGAAAGATAGCAAGAGAAAGAGAGAAAGAAACGGGAAGATAGATAAATTTATGTCCGGTTTTCTTCAAAGTACCATGCCCGTACCTCATGTTTGTCTTTTCCTTCAACTTTTAATTTCTTCTTTTTCCGCTTCTTCTTCTTCTTCGACTCGGCCTCGGACGAGCTGCACAAATGCACATGTGTTATTTGCGTTAAAATTTACGTGTGTAGATTAACATTAATTTATTTTTCACCAATTATAACTTGTATCTTCAGTTGATTGAGTTTAAGGCTCTGCTATTTCTGGGGCGGCTATATTGGCTGATGATGTCAGAAACGAGAAATGACATATCGAAAATTCCTTGCGTTTTATTGCTTTATTTTTTATTTTTCCCTGAAGAACCAAATATACTCCTAATCCTGAAACCTGTAAAAAGTACAGCAAACTTTGATATCTGGCTGGTATATCACGTAGCATCGTAAAATAATTCTTAAAATAATGCTACATTTTTCAGCTGTCACGGTGGTTTGACAGCTAAGATACCAGCCTGTATGAACACATTTAACTTCTCGATTTTCACAATGTATCACCAGTATCACTGAGTTTGCTGTACATTTTACGGCTGTGAGGATTACGATTACACACTTCACGATATACATACTTCACGGAGAAACTGAAAAATAATGTGATAAAACACAAGTAATTTTCCGAGGTGTCAAGCGAGGCCTAGCCTGGCTAGTGTTAGCTAATCAGCTACGTTGACACGGTTATTTCGTGTTCTCGACACTGCTAGGCGCCATCGTCAATTCAGACTTTCTGCGGCGAGATAGCAGAGCCTTAAGGCGCCTTTCTTCTCGATTTAATATCAAAAAATTAATAATACTAATACGTTATATTGATAATACTGTTATTATTTATAGATAATTACTTGCTGTCGTCGGAATCCTCGCTGGAGTCACTGTCGGAGGATGTGACCTCGGTCTTCTTGTGCTTCCGCTCCTTCTTCTTCTTTTTCGACTTTTCTTTTTTCTTGCCGGACTTGGGGGATTCCGACCTATGGAAATCAATTGAATCGTTACAGGTGCCTCGTACTCGCGGGCCGTGGCCGCGATTATTTCTTTTTGTCAAACGATATTTATATTATTAGTCTTATAAGTCTTGCAGTGGGCTTGCGTCTTCCTGTCGACAAGTGCATACCTCGTGCTGACAATATAAAGAAAGCTGTAGTACACAACGTATATCCGTGTGTGAAAAAAACCAATGCTCCGTTCTATCGATATATCAACGTATATAGATGTACGTACAATATGCACAAGCTATCTGCTTTCGGAAAATAGTTTCGGAATAGCCTTCTGCGGATACAGGACGGCCTGAAGAAAGGATTCAAGTATTTAGGGACATATAGTATGCAAAATGTTTTCTCTCTCACGGGTACTATATGTCTCCAATTTCTTTGATTCTTTTTTAACTACCGTCCTGTAAAAAACCTATCCCTCGCGCGATTTTCTTTTTTCTCTTTATAACGAGACATTTCGAAACTTCAGCTTCACGACATACTTATACCCGGTACATTTATACAGGATGTTTCTGAAATTATGGACGAATTCTACAAGCCGTTTCTCTCGCGTCGAGAGAAAGAAGTTCGTATCGAAGTGGCGATACAATTCTTTCCCTTTCGCTTTCCACAAACTCACTGTGTAGTGCCGTCCGGAATATTTCTGAAATATCCTGTAAGTATAGAAATTTTTTCTTAGAGAAAACGTACAGTACAACGATGCATAGGTGAGATGTTCGCGATATTGCATAATATGCGTTCGTTGCTATAGCTAAACAATTCGACTACGTATATATTCGCCTTGAAAGATCTGGTCTTTGCATTCACTTCCGGAGTCGCCGAGAGTCCCTCGGGGCCGGAACCACACAACCGCGAAAAACCACATCTTTCAACCGCGCATTTACAGAAGACAAGTATATATGTTTACGAGAAATATATATATATTTAAATATATATATATATATACATAATATATTATGAGGAGTATTGATAAAATATGGGATTAGCATTACCTTGATAACCATCGATAGGGACGGACTTGTCAGAAAAAAATAGAGAGATGACATATTAACAACAAGCTTCATCGATAACAACAACAGAGAGATAGAAATGTATGATCTTTTTTAGCTTTCTTTTCAATATTTTTTTCAAATTTTTTTGCGTTTATTGCATGTGTAATACCCGCGTGTATACTTTTAATTCGCACTCCCGGCAAATGTTTGCCCATCACACTTTGTTAACATTGTGAAATTACCGGAACGATTATCGCGCGTTAAATTTATGCCAGACCCGTGATAAGAATAAGGGAGAAGGGAACGAATCAACATAAGAATGAAATTAATTAATAGTAAATTAAATTGATAGAATCTCTGATCTTTTTTAGAATGTCGACCCTTTCCAAATAAAAGAGCGACAATTATTAAATTCTATATTTTTATAAAAAAAATACTAAAAATAATACATAACGTCTATTAGCGTTGGAGCTATATGAAGAAGTGAGAAAATTAAATTGGTTGTCATAGCAAGAAAGCCCACTGAAAAAGTAGCTTATATATAACTTTTAACCCTTTGCACCCGGTAAATTCTTTTAGAATAGAGATACCTCTAACTCGAAATATTTTCTTGAAAAAGATTTTCTACGTAAAAGTATGAATTAAACAGATACAACAATAAAAATGGACTATATATTTAAATTGATAACTTACGTTAGAGTTGTTGGATTTATACACACACGCATATACAAATATTAGGAAAACAAAATTTTATCTCTTATAGTCTATTTAGTTTTTTTCGCGAGAACACTGCAAGATGATGCAATTTTGTTATATATGTCACTGAGGTGTCTAATAATTATGATAGTAATTATGATGATAAGTATTTTCACAAATTATGTAGACAATTAATATTGTCGCAAATTACAAGAATGTCACGATATTAGAAAATGATAGAGTGGTGCTTTGCGAATTTTATAAAAGAGAAACTTTTAGTGTTGCCGCTCTATGGAACCTTTCGAGTGTAAAGGGTTAATTATATAGAGTACACTTATTTCTCCTAGCTACGGCTCTGGTTCATTCAAGAAAACGATATAACACGCTACGGCAAACATTTGCCCACGGAGTAGGAAACATCTAATCGCGCGAAAGACAAATGCCGCCCGCGAAAAACAGATACCGCGATCGAAACTGTTCTATGATCTGACATGATCGCGTACGGCGCACGACGTTAAGCTTTCTCCCGAGAAGAGTGTGTCATTTTCTTTTTTTTTGTTTTTGTTCTTTTGCAAATTAATCGCGACGACCACACTTACCTACTGCGCCTACTGGGTAGGCACTCAGTCCTCCTCAGTTCTGTTTGAAACAGAGAAAGGTGTACGGGATATGAGACAGTAGGTGAGTCATGAGTCAGTTTTTTCTGTAAATCCGGCAAGAGAGCAACGCTAACGCGCTATACATAAGTAAAAAAGCAAAAGAGAGAAAGAGAGACGAACGAACGATCAGAACGAACAATTAATCGATTAACCGGCTAGGAAAAGACAGGAGACTTGCTACTTCGGAGGTTCTCTTCTAATCTCGTTTTTCTTTTCTCATAGGGTCCGTGTGAGGCTGTTGTGTGATAAAAGGGTCGGATGTGCGGTCTTGGAGCCTCGATTCGAGCATAAGCCGCGAACGGGAGAAGAGTACTCAAGAGAGAAAAACGGAAGCGAGAGCGAAGAGAAAGAGAGAGATAGGTAGAGAGAAAGAGACAGAGTTAGAGAAAAGAGAGAAAGAGCGAGGGATATCGAATCCAGCCTCCATGGACCCGTGCGCGCACCGTTTACGTTGTGCTGTACCTTTCCCGCTTGTGCTTCTTGGCCTTCTTCTTCTTGGCGCTGGCGCTACCGGAACGCTTCCGTTTCTTCTTCTCCACACCAGATACAACGGTGACAGCGGCAGCGGTGGTGGCCGCGTCTGTTGACGGCGTGGCGGCTGGACTCGGCGTCCGCACCAGCTCGTAGACCTTGCTGGCGGCGGCGGCAGCACGTGCCTCCGCCTCGCGCGCGTGCCGTTCCGGGTCTAGGCTGCTGCCCTCCACGAAGAATTCGGAGATGCCAAAGGCCTCGCGCAGCTTCGCATTCTTCTCCTGCTGCGCTTCGGCGATCTGGTGCGTCTCCCGTACACTGAAAGAAACATGAATATCATTAGTATTATTATTGTTCTATTTAGTTTTGCAATCGTGATAAAAGAGCTGACAATCGCGATGATCGAATGTTACACTTAGAAAAACGCGATATATCGTTCTTGAGGATGTAGAAGTCTGGAGAAGTAAGTTGTGTCGGTCATGTGTGAGCTTGGTTACACATGAAATCCTCGCAGAGATTACATCCCTTGCCCCTTTCTCCCTTGATAGTTCTCATCGATCGTGCGCGAGCCCTATTTAGCGCTATCGGTGTCTCGCGACTAAATATGTCAAGCTTGATAACCGAGCGCATAATCGCGGAATTGTATCCTACATAGAAATCCAAGAATGTAGACTGAGCGATAGACAATCGGAGCCGATCGATCGATGATTGTATCATCTTTTAGTCTCACCCCCTCTCTCATTTTCCAGGTATCAACACTATTATCTCTTTATAAATTACCGAGATCCAAGGCAATCTACTACGACACACCCACCAGTTTACGGAACCGTGATCTCAGATATCTGGGTGATGTCGAATGGTAATCAATAATACAGATGATTGATTATCTAATGAATAATCAGTAAGTAATTATAAATCACATAGCACAGAAATCTAATAATGTATATAATGCGACGATTGTATAGACGATTGCGCTTAATTCTCTTGTGCTTTGTCGTTTTTAATTATCATAATAGATTATAATAAATATTATTTTTACAGATAATAAATATTATTTTTACAGATAAATCGTCGAGATGACACTGGTTCACCATAAGAAACTTGCAATGAGAAACAATCGGAAATTGTAAAGACGAGGAAATTATCGAGATTGGCGTACCGCGTCGAGATCTTCACCGTCATCGTCGTCGTCAAGGGATCAGTCTGCAGCTTGGGCGAAATACTTAGTTTCGCGAAAACACCTGTGCAACAGCAGCGCGAGTTCAGCAACGGCGGCGTCGCCCTCGAGCCGCACTTTGGCGTCGCGGCGTTAATGACATAACACACAGGGACTGACTATACAACGACAACGACGGAGCAAGAGCAGGGGTAGGAATCGCGCGCGGCACGCGAAGCAGCCCCTCTCCGTCCATCTTTCTCTCTCTCTCTACTTTTCCTGCGGGTGAAAAGCAAGCAGTGGAGCCGGGGTTGAGCCAAGCTGAGCGAGCGAACCACCCCTGCGCGCCTGCCGGAACACGCCGGATCAATACAATCCAGCTGTTCTCCTTTCTGGCATCCCCTTCGCGCGCTAGAGCAGAACTACTACCGACCCGGTGGCGGTGACGATAGCGGCGCGGCAGCAGATCGGCGATTCCGAACAAAAAATCGGAAAACTCTTTTTAAAACGACAAAAAGTATCTTTCCTTTATCCTTAAATTATTTTGCATTAACAAGATAATTTTTGACACTTTTTAATGAATCATAATCATTTTAATATAATCATTTTGATGAATATAATATAGATGAATATAATCATTTTGATTTCGTTACTATCACTTGATACTTAGATAAATCACAGACATATTGCGGGTCAACATATTGCAGGACATATTATAGTGTTCAACTGAGATATTCCAACAAGCTCGGAATTTCTACAGAAAATGCCAGAACTCGCTCACAGCAACGCTTTTCTTATCAGGCTTGTTGAAAAATCAATAGAATTTTTTAGTTTTGAAAAAAGGTCGAGTAATTTGTACACATGAAGTGTCCACTTATTTAATGGCTTATCATTTTTTTACAGAAAAAATAACAGTATTCAAAAAATTGAATGGAAAGTTATGAAGAGTGTTAACTCTTAGTAGCTTATGTGAAAAACGGCACTACATGTGGCCCTATATGGGTCTTTTGAGTTCGGCTCTTTTATCGTATCTTTAAAACGATTTGAAAAATCTGTAAAAATTCACGGATATACTTTAAAGTTTCTAGAACAAATACCTGTACTTCATTGTGCATTTTTAGAAGGGGCAAAAAATCCAGGATCTTTCAATGTGCTGAAAAATTTCTATAAATAGAAACTGTCCGGACTCGAAATACGCATGTAGGGTCACTAAGGGTTAATTAGAGCAAACGTTAAACAAGAATAACTTTAACATCAATGTTGACTCTAGTTGCGACTCTAATTGACCATTCGCTCTAATTGCCTTCTAGTTTTACATTATAAATATAACTTTCTTTTTCCATTTTTTCTAGTTAAAGATTAAGTACAAAACTGACGACGGGATTGACGCGCGAGATTCACCTGACAACGGAGCGCATGTTGCTTCGCCGTCCGGCAAGCAGGTGTAGCTGAATACGTTGGCAGCAACAACAGTGCTGGCGCATCTGCAGCTGCTGTTGCGCCCGTTGTTGTCTCTTGCCATTGGCTGCTGCGTGCAGTTTGCGTTTGCGCGACCGCTTCAGCATCTTTTGCCGGTCCAGCAGGAAGTTGCCGCGCCACAGAGTTTCGAAGAAAGCCCGGCCGTCGGCTGGGCCTCGTCCGCGTGCGGGTTTCGCTGCTGATACCGTCGTAGACATCGTCATTCCTCAAAAACGATAACTAACAGGAAACACTGGTTCTCTAAGATCTTTTTCCTTGTCCTTTTTAGTAAATCTTGCTTAGGTTAGCTATTACTTTTTTCCTCGATATTTTCTTTTTCTTCGTGATCAGCGTGGTTAAATTCAAAGTGCTAGAAGTCCTACCAAGTTGTGGTCGTCCTATTTTTACTGTGTAATATGTTCACAAAGTGTAGGATGGCCTCAGATGTTTCAAATTTTATAAATCTTTAGAAATGTTGCGTTTCTTACTAAAGTTCTTGTTCTTAAAATTCTTCCTGGTAGTAAAGTATCATGTGACACATTCGTTAACCTTTCTACATTGTATTCGATTGTAGACTAATTGCGAGTAATCCGTGTCAATTTTTTCCTCAGATTTTAGAGTGAGTCGTGAGATTTGTGATATTTTCAAGTTCTACGGATCCTCTTCTTATATAAATAGCGATATATATAATTTGTTATATATATAAATGTACGATTTTCTCCACAGCGGTATATGCTAATCGTCACTGCGATTCGTGATCAACTTCCGCTTTGTCGAAAATCCTTCTAAAAACTACACCTGGTCGTTGTAATTTTACTCAAGTTTGTCCATCAGAGATTTCATGATCGGATATCTTTTTGGTCGATTTATTCCACTGGCTGAAATAAGGGAAATCCGACAATCCGGTAAATAATCGACGAACAGTAATTAGAGTGCTAATTAAGAACTTAAGGAGCTCCGTCGGTCGGCCCAGGTTGCGCAAGTAGCTTTTCGCCACTTAATCCCTTCGCGAACGGAGGTGGAGGCAGGCTGATATCACACAGATATAGAAACGTAATAGTTCTCTCCCTCTCCAACCGCTGCGCCGTCTTTTGTATTCAGTATTCCGGCTTTCCTAGCCAGAACAATCATCCGGCGACGATGACAATAGCAGTTTCGTCTTTTGCTTTTCTCACGTTCTACCTCGATATCTCTCAAGCGGCCCTTATCATCTCATATCCGAGTGTTGTTTATCGTTCCCGGGGACATTATCATTCTTTATACGTATATTCTTTCCTGTTTTTTATTTTTGTATCTGGTTTTCATCCATTACTTAATATTATTCTTATAATTTCCTATTGTTATCGGGAGAATAATGATATATAATATTATGTATTAGGATGTTATAAGATCATCAAGAATAACGAACGATATTATTTGTTACTTAAATATTATTTTACGGAGGACAGATTATTATATTTCGACGCTTCGGGTCGTTAAATCTTTCTTCCTTATTTTAATACGATCGTGGAAGAATATAGGAATATAATATATATCGTACGATAAAGTTGCTGTATATTATGCACTCTAATGCAGAAGTTAGTTCAGGAAGACTTCAGATCAGGCACACTATTATCGTCGCGTTGTTCCCCGCTTGCGGAAGACACTTTTCTCAACGACGTAAAATTGATTTGTCGTCGTCGACGACTTGGAGACACATGGATTTTGTAGAAAAAAATTTTTCGCCGTTCCTTAAATCTCTTCTGTGTGTGGATTTTCTCTGAGATATAATATCCTTATCCGATCCCTCTTTAGCGAGACGGAATTTATGATCGCAAAAGGAAGACGTGTGCGCGATATCCTTTATATATCGTGATCGAATTATGATCTTTCTTTCCCATTAAAACATCTTTTTTCATCACACCTGTTAACTGTGCGCGTGTTTCTTCTCGCGAATTTCTCGCTCAGATTTCCTCTACTCTTTTTTTTCTTCTTCTGTATCGATTCTTTCTATATTTTCCGTATGTTTTGACAACGAACACCGTTGTCTTGCTCCCGTGTAACGTGACGTTAACTCTAGACTTATATTTTTATAGATCGTTATTTTATAGCCCGTTATTTTTTTAACTTAGTGCTTAGGGACGACCTCGCGGAGTAAATTACACAGATTAAATGCTAATGGAAGACTTTTGTGATTTGTCCGCAGGATTGACGTGTCGCGGCGTCACATGTTTATTCGACCCGATCACGGGGTCCTGTTAATCACCCCCTGACGATTCCCGATGCAACCGTCGACAACACACGACGACGCGTCCGGCGTCGTCACGCCGGTCCATCCTCACACTGAACCGGAAAAGTCGGACGAGAGGGATGCTGCGTTCCCTCCCACCTTTCACACCGGTTCTTCTCCCTCAGCCCACACCTAACGCACCTCTACGGTTCTCCCTCTTAGCGCCGGCGCTATGGGGTACGTCGATATCGCGAATACAACTCTCAGCCTCCACCCCTTTCGACGCTGGCGCAGAGTGCGATACGTCCCCGCCCTCGTAATATTAAATTTGGATTCTTGAATTTTTTCTGAGCTCCTGAATTCTTTAGATTTTCCTCTCGCCCGCATATAAAAGCAAGATTAAAATTTTTACACAATAATATATTAAAAATTCGGTTTCCTCAAAATTTAAATCTTAAAAGTCAAATTTTCATTGTATCTTTTATCATTCCAGGATAATTTCCCTTTTATTCTTTTTTCCACTTTTTCTCCACTTTTGCTTTATATTTTTAAAGATTTTTAAATTATACATAAAATATGTTGAACTATATATTATACATTTTTAATATCTTTTGGATGTTTTATTAACTATGTTAATTCTTTAGAAAAGTTTTTGAATATAAGACTAATATTTTCTGCGATATATTGCGTTTCGCGATAACTTTATATTAGTAAGAAATCAAATAAAACTGTAGTGAGAGGAAATCCTAGAAAGCTCAGACACTCGACATACATGCCGTTTCATATAGCATCCGGCGTCGGGATTATCCCGGATTTGGCTGACAGATGTCAATAGAAAGAAGAAAGTTCTTCTTTCATAATTTCAAACACTCTTTTGAAGAGGAAGTGCTGTTACATTTCATAAGCTACATCTTTTCTTAAATAAACTAAGTTGCAATTCCAAATTTACATTATACTGTGTCACAATATCTCATTGTGTACAATATCTGCTCTAATTTATTTAAAATAATTATACTTATATTTGCTTGATTTATTTCAACACACTATTTAATTATGTTGTGTTACAGATAACCAACTCAATTTCTACAACATTGACACAATTCCGTTACAAGAAAAATGAAGATAAGAAATTTTTACTTACTTAACGCGTCCAAATTCATCTTGTGGCGTGGATGATTTGATGTCACTGCCCATCAACATTGATCTATATGACTCCACCTTGTTCTGCACTTCTTCGTTTGTAAATCTGTGATTTGGATAAAAATAGAAAGGATATAAAATTATAATTTTTATTTGACTATGTATGTATGCATGTGTATGTATAAATGTGATATATCTTCATCAGAATTATATATTTTTTCTATCTTCTAGAAATATTATATTAAGTAAGTACTACTATTGTCAGTATAATTCTCAAATAACTACCACAGATGCAGGCTCTAATTAGATTGTAAACTGTAATAGGATTAAGTTTGTCCATCTTTGGCTTCAATACATAGTCTCAAGATAATGCATTTATATATATCATTGTTAGAAACAAAGATTCTGTGTCAATAACTACAATAATTGTTATAAACTTGAGATACAACAATTTATAACTATTAAATTAAATTATATTATAATATTAAATTAAATTAGATTATAAACTATTAGATTAAAGGTTACTTTAAGATTAAAAACACATAGATTCTCAAATTTAAGACAATTTTAAAATTAAAGATATAGAATGAAGGGCATAATCTGTGAATGTGCTTACCCTTGTTCCTCCAGGATATCAGCCAATTCAGCACATTTAACTTCAACTTTCCTCTTCCTAACATGGTCTAGAATTTCTTTATTTGGTTGCTTATTGAGCTGATCGACTTTGCCCTCTTCGGTCTTGTATATATAGGAAACCTTATCCTTGGTTTTACGTACAATTGCCCAATTTCTTTGAACGTGTCCATTAGTCCCAGAACCTCGGGGAGTTTGAAGTCCAATGCCATTGTACATTTTGTTTCACTCCTATGAATCAAAGGTAAAATACATACTTGAGGTATACAAAAAAGATGTACTTATTGCCTAATCCACTGAATACAAAATAAGGTCTAATCCACTGAATACAAAATAAGTTACATCAAAGTATATAGATTACAATATTAACAAGAAAAATAATAAAATCACATAGTATTTAATATAAATTTAAAGTTTGAAAAAAAATTTTTAGAGAGCTGAATTTGTTTGCAATTGTCAGAAATTGGAACTTGTGAAACCATATTTACACAGTGTTTGTCATTCAGATTGATTGTGACTATTTAATCAAATTAAAATGTTGTCAAAGGTGGTGGACGGAATTTTAATTTTGAAATAAAAATTTCTCAAACTACATACACAACATCGAAGCTACAAAGTTATATACAGCTGCGCTGTACTTGCCAGATATCTTATATTAAATTATATGTATCGACTTTTCACGCCAAGTGATATTATCATGGTATCAAATCTCACTTGACTACATATAATATATACTGTTATATATATATGTATATACATATATATATATATATGTACAACGCCTTATAGTATATATATATAAGATGGTTAATAATCCATCAGATTCACGGATACCTAGGTTAGAGTAATGCACACGTTAATCAATTATCGATCCGGTGTCGCCCGGCACTGCGCAAATCTCGCTCGTTCGAATAGTTGTTTCACTCTGTTCACGTTTATCTTACCTGCCTACGCTCGTCAGGGAAGCCGACGACGACGACGTTTTCACGGGCCGGAAACGCATTCGTCGCACAAACGAAAACGCGAGATCAAAAACTGAAGATAAGAATCTCGTAAGCTAATAGTACGAACACCCCCACGGACCGTTGTGATCCTTGGCTTCTCAGATTTGGCAATTCTCATTAGTTTCGGCAACAGCCGTGTGGCGACGCTTCGCGATTAATTCCCCTAGTCCCTAGGAGATAGAGGTCATTTTCTAGCAAGAAACACTGTGTTACACAAATCTATTTTGTTGGCTAACTGTTATCTCAGAAAATATCTTAGATAATGTGTAATGGACCAGGGCCCCTATTCTTGAAATTTTTGCGTATACGTAATTTTCATTGCGCAGCTATTTTATAGTATGATTAAACATGAGCAGTAAAACTTACGTATTAACTTTAACTTTTAACTTACGTTAAAACTTACGTATACACAACTATTTAAAAAATAAGGGCCCAGTGCTGGGATTCTGTAACTCGTTATTGGAGTTAACCATAGACTTATTATATATAGACTGCGTGTTCTCAATGTTTACTATAGCTGAACGCATCATAGAAGAAAAAGAGATAGCATGCTTTGGATCACCATTCTGTTTTTTTCTAACGACGCATAGTGGGGATAAGAAAAATGTGGGAAAGGAATGAAGGAGAATTGAAAGGTATGCAGAAGAAAAATAATATAGCGTACCAGAATAATTATCGATATATTGTGATAATAAAATGTTTTATTATGTGTATAAAGTATTTTATATGTGTGTTATAAAAACGCTTCGAGAGAAACATACTATGTAGGAGAACCAATGTAAACTCCCACTCTAAACATAAGGAGAGGCTAGAGTGCCTCACCACGTGTCATTAGAAAAAGATAGAATGGTGATCCAAAGCATGCTATCTCTTTCTATTCTGTGATGCCCGCTCAGCCCAGTACGCAGTCTATATATACTAAGTCTATGGAGTTAACGACAGTTTCGTTATCTCATAGCATGTTCGTTATCTTATAGCTGGCTCTGGATTAACCCACTCTGGGTTATTCAGCTTACGTTTATTGGTCGAACAAGTACTTATAAGCTTTATGATTGGCTAGTAGAAACTTATGACGTCATTAATCGCTCTAGGAGCGATTAACCCAGGGCCAGTCGAACACGCTATCGTCCTAATGGCTCCTGCACACAGGACGCGG